ATCTACAAACCCGTTTGAAATGGACATGTGGTTGCCCCTGTCTGAGCCGTTGCTCTCACAGGAGAAGTTTGTTCCAAGTTTACATAATGTTTCTATCCAGTTACCTGAGTTAATAAATGAAGACAACACTTTTGATTTAAAAACATCTCCTGCTTTATTTGGGGAAAGGGAGGTCCCGCAAGCTGAACCCTCACAGGATGTGATGTCATCTTTGTGAGATTGTGACATGAAGTGGTTGGGGAAATGTACTGGCCAGGATTTTGTGGAGTTGTAGTCCTAGAACATTTGGGGACTCAAATCAGAAGACACTGTGCAGCTGTCTTGTCTATTCTTCCTGTACAGGTTTTCTGATTTAAAAGAAAGGTGGAGGAAGCGGTGGAGAAATAATGGGAGGTTCGGGAGCAGAGGATGGTATAGATTAACTTATCTGCAAGCATTTGTGAAAGAGATAAGATGGTGATGCAATAAAAGCCTACTTTGGAAGTACCCCGTGTTTATGTCTGGTTATAGATGAGGATTTTTGTAGAAGTCAGAAGTTAGGATCAGAGACAGTAGTCTTTGCACAAGACTTCATGTGCATGATTTAAAAGCGTTTAGACATTTGAAATTGCAAGCAGTCAGCATGCAAGTACAGTGGTGCCTCAACTTACGAACTTAATCTGTTCTGGAAGATGGTCATAACTCGAAATGGTCGTAAGTCAAAGCACCATTTCCTATTGAAATGCATTGAAATGCAATTAATCCGTTCTGGCCAAAGAAAAAAAATCACAATCCCCCCACAAAACACTGCAAGACCAATTCGAAATGCGATTAATCCGTTCCGGTTGAAGGAGAGGGGGAGAAAAGCAAGCCAAGCATGCAAGACCCATCGGAAATGCAAAAAAAAAAAAAAAAGCAAAGCAGAAAGAAAGCCAGCATGCAAGACCCATCGGAAATGGGGTGAAAAACCAAAAAACAAATGCCCCCCAAAACCCATCGGACATGGGGGGAACAAAAAAGCAAACCCCCAAGACCCATCACAGCACAGAAACATAACCCCCCAGCGCAAAACCACACTGCGAAACCCACCCAGGACAGTTTTTAGAAAGCAGAAAGCAGCACCTTACCACCTTAAAAAGCAGAAAGCAGCACCTCCGCCTCCTCGGATCTGGGGCGGAAGAGCTACAAAGAAGCAGCCTCTTCGTCTACCAATGGTTAGCAATTAGAATTCCTTGCATTTTCCCCTGCCTTTTTCTGTTCGTAATTCGGAGCTCCAGCCGCAAGTCGAAGCAAAATTTTGCAGCCGGAGCTGGTGGTAACTTGAAATGGTCGTAAGTTGGGACATTTGTAAGTCGAGGCACCACTGTAAATGAGATATAAGGCTATTGCATCCAATTACATGCTAGATATGGGTGACATTTGACTAGGGATTGAATCCAGCTTCTGCCATATTACTTACAGTGGACTCCATTTGGGAGCAGTGTTCAGCAAGTCTATCTCTGTGTAAGGCTTCCAACCTAGGGTAGGGCAGAGCAAGGAACCACACTGCAGGAGTGTTGTGTATATCTCTGCTGGTCCAGTTGCTTGGATAACATTGTAGGATTGTTACATTTCTTCAGTTTCAGTTTAGCTCTGAAATTACAATAGATTTCAGAGCTGGTAAAAGAGGATTGTGGAATTGTTATCAAGAAGAAACTGATCAACACCATTGGATATGGATGGTTGTGTTTTGCTATCATAACCTGTTTTCCCAACCACAGCCTCTTTCTACTTGGAGTATGGGGAAAATGAAATGCATTTACTCTGGAACTTACAGCAAAGCAGTTTGTCTATTTATAACCTTTTTTCAACTAAATGAAAACTGAGCTAGAAACAGTAGGAGCCCTTCTCTTTTGATTACATTCGGGGTTGCGCTGTCTTCACAGTCAGAATACAATATCATCCTTCTACTCATATCCCCTTGCAACTGGTTAAGTTAGTAATAAAAATAGAAAGTAACCCTTTAATATTAGGCATAAATGCTGGTGGGCCGAGAAGGGTGATGATCCAAATTAGGAGGAAAAGTAGAGGAGGAAAATGGTTGAATCATCAAATGATAATAACAGCCAGAGGAGGGTTGGGGGGGGGAGGCTTGGCATAATTTAGTTGAATTGCAGTGAATTCCTTTGTCTCCAGATGAACTCATATCCTGCTAATAGCTATTTAGCCAGTTAGCTATTTAGGCTGGTTTATTCCTCCACATCTTATCATTTCAGTACAGGATTATCTAGAAGGGGAAATAGTGCTCCAAATACAAACTTAATGATAATTGTTACAAAGCTAAGCTTGAGCTTTTTTCCATTCTTTTTTAGATTCAGCAAGGACTAATCTGTGGAAAGTGGCTGAATCTGCATTTTGAATCTTAATCTCACACTTCATTTCATTCTTCCATCACCACCAGAAATTCAGACTAATTCTTAATACTGAAAGACTCCTTTTCCTCTGTGATTTCTTAATCTTCAGTCTTTGAAAATGCCTTGAAAATTGAGAACAATTTAGAGTAAGAGCATTTGAAATTAAAAGTATCTAGAAGATAACCTTTTAAAAATCCTTCTGCAGTCTGGTTTGTTGCGTAAACAACACAGAAGTAAACCTTACAATTTAGGCATTATGCAGAATTGCAGAACTGTCATTTCAAAAGTTGTGGACAGTATCCTCAAAGTTCAGTCATTTCCAGTGTATATGTCTTTTGTTCTTTCATTATTTGGTTCTTTATTGGGTGAGGGGGTACAAAGGGCAAAACATGTCCAGCAAGCCTTTTTCTTTATGTCCATGTTGAACTTTTTTTTTCAACCAGTGTGGCATCTTTGGACAATCAAGTGTTGTTTATTTCAGAAGAGTCCATAACTTCCCATGATTCATACAGTCCAAGGCTTTGCTGTAGTCTGTAAAGCATTGACTGTTCTTCTGAAATTCTGATGCCACAGTTTAAACATACAGAGAAAAAACAGTGCAACAAATAATGCCCTTAATTTACCTAATACGGAAAATCCACATTAATTTGCACATTATGTAAATGTGCATATTATGTAAATAGGGTTACATAATAATCTGCGTAATAAGCAGATTAGGCTGCCAAGATTCTCAGAACTCTGGCAACTAATTTGTTCCAATGAACTTCACAGAAGCAGGTGTTTCGGAAGTAGCGAATAGCTTATGGTTTATGGTAGCCAGATGTAGGGTAGTAACTTTCATGAGTACTACCCTGTTTCCCTGAAAATACGACCTAACCTGAAAGTAAGACCTAGTATGATTTTTAGGATGCTCATAATATAAGCCCTACCGCCAAAATAAGGCCCAGTTAAGTGAAACCCCGCCCTCCGCCATTGTGCAGCAACCAGAAGAAGATGACATGACTGTATTTGAATAAATGTAGATTGTTGTACAGTACTGTACATGAAAAAAAATCCCCTGAAAATAAGTCCTAATGTGTTTTTGAAGTAAAAATTAATATAAGACCTGTCTTATTTTCATGGAAAAATAGTACCAGTCTGAAAATTTTACAGTGATTGCAGCAACAATTAAAATGCAATTCTATATTTCAGGTTTAATCCCAAATAATTATAGAACTGCAGTTTATATATTACTCTCCTTCTTATTCTCCTTTCTTTTCCCTATCCCTTGTTTTTCTGTGATTTTACATAAACGCAGAACAGCAGCTTAATTCAAAACATGTTTATTCAGGAGTAAGAGCCATTCAGTTCAATGGTATTTTCCTCCCAGGAAACTTCAAATAGGATTGCAGATTAAAAATATTTCAGATAAAAGCTGCATTTCTGAAATATTAAGAAAATGTATGTTAAACATGGTTTCGCATACATAATTTCTGATTGCTTGATGCCATAGTTCGTATTTGTTTCTTCGTCTCTACTGCAGTCATCACAATTTGCATTTACAAGAGCTAGCCCTCCATATCTTTTCCCTGTTCCCTCTCCTTCAGCATATGGTGCTAATAAAAATATACAGTATACACATTTTACCAGTGCATGTGCTTTGGAGGGAAAGAAATTTGAGATTAAGGGAGTTGCTAGACAGCTGCCCTCTACTGTAATGAATGTGCTGTGTTTCCCCGCTCAGTATTGTATGTCAGTTGTGCCAATGTTACATTTTCACTGAAGTACAGTACATGTTTAGTTTTCTCTGCAGTCAGGACAGTTATTGCCATGTTATGTATAATGTGTTTGGGTGTTTTGCTACAACATGGATTCTAATCTGACTCTCAGCACAGAAGCAATTTTGTAACTTTTGAAAAGTTATGCCTTAAATCAGTGGTTCTTAACCTTTGTTACTCGGATGCTTTTGAACTGCAACTTCCAGAAACCCCAGTCAGGACAGCTGGTGGTGAAGGCTTCTGGGAGTTGCAGTCCAAAACTCCTGAGTAACCCAAGGTAGAACCAGTACCTTAAATGATATGGGAACATAATGTGAAAGCTGGGCATTTCCTCTTCCACATGATAATTCCACAGGAATGATCCTCAGGCTGTAGGGAGGGGCTTCCTTACTATCTCATGTCATACATACCCCATGAAAGTATTTACCACCAATTTTGGAATATTTTCTTTGACTCTCTAAAATTTTCATGCTTCCTGTAGCATATATTGATCTACGGTCCCTTTATAGTGAACCTGTTATATAGTGAGCCTTTTGATTCATGCTATTGTTTTCAAACAGTCAAAACTACATGCTTTTGGTGGTATTTGTAAATACTTAATTATTTTTACTGTGGTTGGCTCTATCCTTTGATCGATATGAGGCCTCAGCAGGCCCATGAAACCTGATCTCCTTCAAAATAAATACACTCTCAAGGGCCGCTCTTGTAAACAAGCACTGTTTAATGAAATCTAAAAGGACAGATGCTCTGTATTTATTTATTTATTTATTTATTTATTTATTTATTTATTTATTTATTTATTTATTTATTTATTTATTTATTTAGGGAGAAGAACTCTAATATAGCTTTTATTGCTTTTGTGTTCTGGCAGACATAGAACGTAAAGAAGATGTGACATGGTACTTAAAAACCTCACAGGTGGCGCTGGCGATAGCCATTATCCGTTCAAAACCGCCAGATAAAAGCAGCAAAGAATATGCAGAGCAGCTGGCCAAAGCGGTATCTGGACAGAATTCCAAATGGAAATTGCGAGTTGAAACTTTAGAAGCAGAAGTTCTTCATTTAAGACGGCAGCTCCTTTTGAGGGAAGTTTCTTCAGGATTCTCTGTAGAAAATAGTGAGTTATCAATTCTTGATGTGAAACACACTTTAGATAATGTGTGTGTTTTTTAACTAACAGATTCTAACACCTTTTGTTCATATTAATTCATGTTCATTATCCATCAATTTCGACTACTTATGTAGTGCACCTCCCTTACCATTTTCCTTTTAGATTACTGGTAAGTCTTTGCACTCTCATGAAATCCTGTGGGATGAGATGCCTGAATTCTTCTGTCACTGCCTTATCTTCCATTGCACAAGCTCTCCAGGCTCAGAGTCAGATTAAATGTTAAAGGGGTTTTATCTCATGACCATTTTATCTATCATAGCTGGACCTCAGCAACCAGAGGTACAATTAAACCAGTGTTTACTTTCTAGTGTCAGGTCACAAAAGAAAGCATTCTTGAGTGTAAGATATGGAAGTTAAAAAAATACAGGCTGGGACAAAGAGAAATGTTTCAGCCCTTTAAGAACTATACCCATTGTCTAGTTTAACCCTCAGTCTGCATTTAGGGTAAGATATATAACCTTTCTTCCCTCTCTTCGGCATCTATTCCATTAGTTAAAAGGGAGAAGAGCAGCATTTCCTCCCAGAATTCCACAGATTTCATTTGATTGGGTTAATCAGAGTCTTCCTTTCAGACATCAAACTATTACTTTGCACTGTTCCACTGAAGTAAGGAAAATGTGTAGGTAGAGTTTAAATTACAGCACATAATATTTTCAGAGGCTCTTTTCTTTGGTAGTCAGTTGCATCAGTTCTGAGGTGTTTCTGAAACTAATGAGTTAGTGAGATACACAGCCCATAAAATCACATCTCATTTGAAGTGCAATCTGGTGATATTCAGAGTGTTCTGCCACCTTTCTTTTCATACATTGGACTGTATTTCCTGAGAATTCATTTTAGTTTGGAATGACTTTTTAGTTATTAATTCAGCTAGATCAAAGCAAAGAGAGACTATCCTTTTCTTACATCTTTGCCTTCAGTACTTCCTTCTCCTAAGATTCTGGAAAGCCTTGGGTTTTTCCCCCCTCAGCTTTAAGATTGAGAGGGCCTTTATCTATGAATTTCTATTTTGTTCATCCCCCATTACCTAAACGTAGTATCCTACCTTGTGTGTTCATGATATTATTACAAATAGACTATTTTATACTGTATTGTATAATGCTTTTTTATAATTAGAGGCTTAGAACTAATTATAAAAAACTAACAATTCGTTCCATGCTGGATCAGCACAGAAAGAAAGAACATCTGTTTCCAGATTCCCCTTAGCCATCTTTTGAAATAGCGTTCCTTCTTTATCTCTAGGGCAGGAGAATTTATCCAGTACAACAGAAACACATAACATGTGATATGTAGCGCTTAGGCTCCTCTTGTGGACTTCATGGCTAAATGTCAGGACAGGACAAGACTGAAGCCTCCTGCCTCCCAGAAGGGCCCCACCCTCCCCCCTTGCTGCAGATGGTGGCACTGTCATCAGAGTAAAGGCAGGGATGGGCACTTTAGCTCCCATTCCTCAATGGGCAGCTGTCCTCCCACATCTTAGCATTCTTGCGTGTAATCACTGGAATGGGATGAGATTACAATTACAAATTTTATATTATCACACTGCACAAGAGTTTGCAGCAGAGCAAATCAACTTCCTACAAGTCAATTTCTAAAAATGGTGGCAGCCCAAACAAAAAATATTTAATTTTGAAACTGGACTTTGGATTAGCACCAGATTTGGTGCAGATATAGCAGACAGTCTGTTGCTGCTCTGTGCCAAATCTGGGGGAAAGTTTTCAACTTACTGTTTTTTAAAAGTAACACTATTTTACCACCCCCCTTCCCATGCAGAAAGAAGTGACCTTAAAAAATTTTCCCCATTAACTTTATTATGGTCAAAGACTAGCAAGAAGTGAACCTAAACGTCTCCCAATGTTTAAAAACTCATATACTGTAAATTGAAAAGTCCCCCCTGACTGTCTTGAAAGAGAAGGGTCAACCCCACCAGTTTCTTTTTTTAATTACTATTATTATTTGCAAATAATCCAAGATGCAGGGGCTGAAATACTGGCCCTACAAAAAAAGGGTTAAGCAATGACTTTGTTATAAACCAAGTATATATAGAATAGGCTTACCAGCAAGAGCATTGCAAAGTAGATACATTGTTGTAACTTCATGGCCCAGAGGGAGACATGTTTGAAGGGCAATAAAAGGTTATAGAAATAATCAAAAGACACTTTTTTAAAAAGTAAAAAAAAAAATCACAGCCATGCTTGCTTTAGGGAAAGTAGTGGATTGGCAGTCCTCCAAGAAGGGGAACATTTTGCCATGTATCTCTAGTCAAGATGATCTACAGCAGAGGTCCCCAACTCTTGGTCTATGGTCCGGTGCAGGACCGGGCCACAGAGACAGATCTCCTGCCCCCCCATGCACTCCTCCCACCCACCCCACCTGTACGCATGGCCCACTACTTGCACACATGGGTGCCCCTCCCACCCATGAGTGTGCCCCTCACCTCTGCAAGCACGCCCCACTGTGCGTGAGCATGCTCGCCCCTCCATGAGCGCACTCTGGTCCTTTGTGCATGTGCATAAACATGTTCCGCAAATGCATCCCCTCCCACCCACAAGTGCGCCCATTACCTCTGCGAGCACATCCGTCGTGCATGCACATTAGCACACTCTGCCCTTTTGCGCATACATGCGAATGCGCTCCGCCCCTCTGTGAGCATGCTCTACAAGTGCGGCCCTCCCACCCATGAGCACGGGGGCCCATTCTACCCCTCTGCGACTCAGACAAGGTTGGGGACCACTGGTCTACAGCATATACTCTTGTGCTCATTGCCATGCACACTTATCAAAAACCAGCCATGATAATTGTTTTGTGTTTGGATGAGAAGTGGTTAACTGGTGAGAAAAGGAGTTTCTGGGATTTTTCCTTGTTTAGCGTAACTTTGTGAATGATAGTAAGCATAAGAGGGTGTCCTGCAGACCATCTTGACTGCTGCCAATAGTATTGTCAACATTCACACTGCCCTCTATAAAGCTTGACATTCTTTTTCCTGTTTGCAAGGTGAGTGTGATATTGTGTAGCAATCTTGGGCTGTGTCCTGGTGTTCTGAATTGTGGTTACAGAAGCAAAATATCCCATATTTATAAACCAGAAGGTTTTGTTTTGTTTGTTTGTTTGAAGAATTAAATATGTATGCATGTTTGTATGTGAGAGAAAAAGCAAGAGGCCATGCATGTACAGTGGTGCCTCGCTTGACGACGATAATCCATTCTGTTCAGATCACTGTTAAGCGAAATCGTCGTCAAGCGAAATTAAAAAACCCATTAGAATGCATTAGAAACTGGTTAATGTGTTCTAATGGGTGAAATACCTCATTGTCCAGCGAAGATCCTGCATAGGGCGGCCATTTTCCAGTGCCTGTAAAGCGAGCAATCAGTGCTGAAAACAGCGAGGAACCATTTTGCACAGCGGGTGGCCATTTTGCGACCCACCGATCAGCTGTTCTAAAATCATCGTTAAGTGAACAGTCGGTTCCCAAAGCAAGGAACTGATCGTCGTCAAATGAAAAAAGCCCATAGAAACATCGTTTTGCAATAGCGATTGCAAAAAAACCATCGTCAAGTGGATTTGTCGTTTAATGAGGTAATCGTTAAGCAGGGCACCACTGTATGCATAGACAAATGTGAGCACATATATACACATGAATCCCTTTGGACACTTGGCAACACTGGATGTTGCCCTGGAAGCATCAGAAAGGATCATTTTGCACTTTGGCAAGTGACGATGGCAGAACTGATGCCTTGAGAAAGTCTTCCACATCCAATTCTTCAGCAATGGTATGACTTACCTGGAAGTGGGCACCAAGAAGCAATATGGTTCAACTGGACCAGTGGTTTCCTCTTAGTTTCGCTGGGCTTGGAAATAAATCAAACCATTTCTCAGTTTTGGGGGTGGAACTGACTTGCCTCCTTTTGAGAATATTGCAGAATCTGTTCTTGCTTAAGTTCTGCAACATGACCTGCCATTAATCTTAAATTGGAATTGATTATACTAATTTATTGGCTGCAGAATGGTTTAAACCTGCCTTGTGTTTCTCAGTTTGATCAAGGGACTTTGTACCAGATTAGCAACATCCATTCCTATCAGCAGAACACAAGAGAATAGATGAGCACATGCTGCCTGTTCTCTAAACTATAACTTGCTGCTTTGTGTGTGTAATTTTCTGGGATTCCCCTGACCTAACCCTGCTATGTGTTTTTTGAAGACAAGGATCTGCAGCTCAGCATCCATGAACTAGAGATGCAAACGGCAGCTCCACTTTCCTACAACTATTGTCTGCCACAATCTTCCAGGCTAGAGGTAGTGTGGGTGCAATTGGCCCCATCCCTCCTGGTTTTAGGAAGCGGCTCAAGACTGAAGAAGTTGTTTTCCCAAGCCTTTCAATAGCTTGCTCCTAATCAATTAATTTTATGTATCCCTTCTGCCCCCAGCCTGCCATTAATTTTCCTTTTTTTTTTCTTTTGCGGTTTCTGTAACTGTCTATGTCAGGAACCCCTTTTTTCACTATGCTATTTTTATCATTGTTTATAACTGTGTGTCCTGTTAGATGTCCGGAGTAGAAGCCTAGCTACTAGTTAGGCGGGATATGTATGTATGTATGTACTGTATGTAAATTGATTGAGTGAATGATTGATTTTACTTGGACATATGTAAAGGTGGAAATAGCTTAGTTTATCTCTGAATGAGTAAAATAGAAGCAATGAGAAATCCACACCTTATTGTAGGTGATCAGCAGCTTAGTTTATCTCTGAATGAGTAAAATATAAGCAATGAGAAACTCATCCACACCTTATTGTAGGTGATCAGTTGATATGGCACCTACCACAGAGATGTAGTTTGGACAAATTTTAGTGATTTAAAGAACAGCTCAGTTCAGCTTGGGCCATTCTGGTACCCATTCAGTTTGACAGAACGTCCTTTAGAAAAGTCAGTGCTTGCTGCCTCCTCATCTTACTTGTTCTGGCCACTTGTGTTCCTGTTCCCCCTCCCTTAAAGAATCACTGATCCTCCCCCATCAGCCTGTCACTTTCCCTTTCCTCCTTTCCCTTCTGCAACAGTCTGGCTTGGAAGAAAAAAGCAAAGCCATTTTATGCTGTCCCTGGAAAACTAGCCATGGGGAAATCTGCCCTTTGGATTGAGTGCATTTTCTACACACCCTCTTCTCTTTCAACTTCATAAAGACCTCACGTGCTCAAGTGAGATTCATGGCTAGTGATGATCTGGACCCTAGTCACCCAGCTAGAGGTCCCACACTTTGTTCACTGCAATGCATTGCCTCATTGATTTTCTTTGTGTTTCAGGGACTTCAGGTGGTTTAGGTGAGGCTGTGCTGCCTTCTAATACAGAAGATTGCTCAGATCATTTTGAAGACTCTGGATGTGATACCTCAAGTGACCATGTGGCTGATACATTAAAAACTTGCCCTAGTCTCAACTACAGGGAGCACAGCTCCGTCAATTCTGTGTCTGATGCTTCCTCAAATACCCTTCCAATATTGACTTCTGTCTCTGCACAGAGCAGTAAGTCTTTGCTTTCCCATATACAGTTCCTACAATATTTCATTGAACTGAGAAAACTGACAGAGGCTGGAGGTCTGAGAACAGACATGAAAAAACTTGGGAAGGATGGCTCCATCATATTTGATTCCTTTTCTCGGTTGATCGATGGCCTAGTCACTTTATATAGCCTTCCTGAACTCCCCTTTTCAGATGTTGTGACTCAGGCAGTTTGTGTCATAACCAGGTTATTAAGTGATGCCGATTTGTCTTGTCTGATTCTGGGAAGGTGTATCAAGAAGCTAGAAGACTTTGTGAAAAGACTTGTAGCAATTATTTTGAAGAACAACAACCTCAATAGGGTAAGTAAAATGCCACCCATGGCCACATGGGATTTCAGTATGCAACTGAGTTTGCAAACATGTTCATTTGATATTTCTTTTACCAGAATGTCAAACATTTTAATGTCCTAGAAATTCTGGGTATAGTAGTGTGTAGCCCTCTGTATAGAGAATGACATGTAATGAGGTAGTTGTGGAGCATGCAGGTGAACTCTGGGGGAAACAGTGCTACCAGGAATCATGTCTATATGGACCCTCACTATTGTTACACCATAGCCTTGCTAAATCTGTATCTGTAAAGTAGGACAGATCACAGAGGTGAATTTGTCCTCTTATCTTTCAGTTGCCTCAGTCCAAATGTATAAATATTTGCCATACAGTCCCACTCTTAAGTGTGAAGATGTGGACTTGTCCACAGAAGCTCATATTAAAATATAGCAGTTAGTCTTTAAGGTGATACAACATTTTTGTCTTTTTAACATTTTTATTCTGTTTTTGCCTAATATGCAAGCACAGACTTACATGACTATCTCTTCTAAAACTCAGTCCAGATGTGGCCCTTATATAGAGTGAATTTCTACTCAGAACTGCAAGAACTGTAGCATTTCTTGTTGGAAGCTGGCGAGAGGAAGCATATGATCTTGCTTTATACCAAGTCAGAGCATTGTGTGTTTAAGGTCTTTATTGGAAGGAGCGAGTGCCTTTGTGCCAAACTACAGCCCATGGTTGAATGGAGGTAGACTGATTTCTGTTAACATATATCTCTGCAGTGACAGCATTTGGATACCACTTTAACAGTCATGACTCCATCCTAAGGGAACCTTGGATATGTAATTTTACAGAGTCCTTAGAAGTCTCTACTACAAAGAGGTTGTGTACTTCCTTGAAGAACAACAGAGATATCTAAGTACCCACCAAACTACAAATCCTGCGATTTCTTAGGATGGAACTTTGGTAGTTAAAATGGTATCAAAATTGATATGAATATGTAGTGATCACATCAGCATAAATCCAAAAATATCAAATGTCAAAATGGTATCAAAATTGATATGAATATGCAGTGATCACGTGCCAGAAAGCAGAGAAAAATGATTTTGCAGCAAAATAAATTATTCTGCAGGCTGAAAAAAAAAGATTCCCAGTGGAAGACATGGAGCTTCCTTACTCTTGTCTTTATATCATGTAGTCCTCAGTTTTTACTTCTGTTTTACCCATTCTGCATCCAATACAAACTGAAGGGTAAATAGCCAGTGTTGTTGCGTTCTTCAAAGGAAGCTGCCATGAAGCTTTTACCTCCCTTAAGCTATCTTGTATTGCAAAAGAGGACAACATTTGCATTCTAGAGTTGCTATCATGTTCATGTAGTTTGTTGTTAAAATTACAAGTTGATTAATGAGCATGCTAGGAATCTGGAAAGTCAGAGAAATGTTCAAAGAGCACATTATGCATGGGTTTTTAAGGGTATCTTATATCATCTGAATTCAAGTATTTCTTAGTGCTAGAGAATCAAGTTTTTCCTAGCCAGCTGAGTTCAAGGAGTTTATGCTTACCTGTATAAATACAGGTGGTTTAAAAATACCTCAGCACTGCGTTTCAAGAAGATTTAGCATTAGAAAATGCATTTACAATGAAAAAAAAATACGTACAGTACAGCAAAATGTAATGGCAATCCATGGAATACTTTGGCACCAGGATCTCTCACATCATAGGTTTACTTGAGCTTTTATACCAGCACTAGAATATTTCGTTTTTAAAAAAATCATTGCCAGTTTTAGCTTACTTGTATTTCAGCCAAGCACCTTTGCACGCAGTCATGTGAAAAAGAAAGTACAGTGGTGCCCCGCATAGCGATGATAATCCGTTCTGGAAAAATCGTAGCTATACGGATTCGTCGCTATGCGGAACAAAAAAGCCCATATGAATGCATCAAAACATGTTTAATGCGTTCCTATGGGCAAAGAACTCACTGTTCTGCAAAAATCCTCCATACAGCCGCCATTTTCCGGTGCCCGGTAAGCGAGGAATGGGTGCGAGAACACTGCGGGCGGCCATTTTTTTTACCCAGTGGCCATTTTGGAACCGCCGATCAGCTGTTAGGAAAACATCGCTATGCGAAAATCGGTAAGCGAAACAGCTTACTGATCATCGCAAAGCGATGTTTTGTCATTTTAAACATCGCAATGCAATCGCAAAAACGATCACAAAAAAAACATTGGTATGCGGATTCATCATTAAACGGGGCGCCCGTTCTGCGGGGCACCACTGTACACCTTCTTTGAATTCTGTGGTTTCACGTATCAGGACATAGTACAAATTAACAGGTCCTTAACAGGTCTGAAAATTAGCTAAATACAACCTCAGATGAACAGCAACACATGATATATTACACTATGTCATGATTTATTTTATGAAAATAAAGCCAACTGGGTAAAAGTAAGTATACCCTTACTGCTTCCATAGGAATTAAGAGGCTAAGTAGTTGCCAGGTGCTGCTAACAACATGCCCTTGAGTAACTATCATCATCAAGTGTGCCCACCTCTATAAAAGTTTAAGTTTTAAATGTTTTCTGGTCTGCAGCATTCAGTTGTGTGTCAACACAATGCCAAAGAGGAGAAACATCAGCAGTGATCGTAGAGAAGCAATTGCTGCTGCCCATCAATCTTTTTCACATGACTGTAGATAACATTTTAATTAATGTCACCAAATGTGTTTGGAAAACTTTGAAATAAAAAATTGTAATCTCCATTGGTTCCAACTTGGGTGCTATATGCAGAGAGGTCGGAGATTCAGAATTATGTTAAGATGATAAAAGAAGCTAAAAAGTCCATCTAGTTTGACTGACTACTGTGACCTGATAATCTTTAATGGTCCCCTGTAACATATCTAGTGTGTTCTGAATTATACATGACTGTAGTGAGGTGTATGTGATGTTTAGCAAGTTTATACTGCATAACTGATTCATGATTTCTTGCCTCCAGTGGTCTATGGCAAAATATCTGTCTTGTCTAGGTGGTAAGTCAGAGTAATTGGATAATTACTAGCTAAAACTAGTATTGATTTTTTTTTTACTTTTATAAGGAGACATTGGGTAGAACTACTCTGTCTGACTTCAGAAAACAAATGCATGAAAGTATCTTTTCTCTGAGTAAAACCTTTTGTACAGCTGTGACCTAAAGCCTCTCAACAAAGACTTGCAGCTGATTACAAAGACGTTAATTGGGAAGATATTTTCCATGAACTCTTAACTGTGGGCCTAATGTCATCTTTTAGTTCATTGTCAACATTTTCTTCATTTTTTAAAAATACTGATTCCCAGCTCACGCCCCGAAGGAGGGGTGAAGACTGTGAGAAGGGTCACGACAAGACAGAATTGATTTGATGGCATGCATTCAAGGCATTGGATGTTCTGATAGATCGTTCTATCTTTTGCTTTAGCTTTAAGTAGTTTGAATTGCACAGGGATACAGTGGACACATTAAAAGCAGGTCAATAGTAGCATTTTGTCAGCATGTAAGAATGGCCAGTAAAACCATCTGAATTCCTTACAGGTGGTAGTATCATGGACATCATTTGGAAGAATCATTTATATATGCAATTTTCAACAGTTTAATTAGGGATTATGATCAGGCACCAATACACTATCCTTCACATATTCACAGAGTTTCCTTTAAGCTTTTTCAGTAATCCTTCTGGTATTTATTCATTTGACAGACAGACAGACAGACAGACAGACAGACAGACAGACAATATTCCCAGTTTACAAACTTTTCTATGCTGTTTGAAGCTGTTTTAGTAGGATTGATTAAAATGATAAACACTTTTGTGGCAATGATACATTTACAAATCACTCTCATGCAAACCAATTCTGTGCATATTTACTCATAAATGAGTCACACTGAGTTCAAGGGGATTTACTCTGAAATAATGAAGTATGCAATGAATTGCAGTTTAAGCCCCATTGCAATATCAGCCTGGTTCAGGTTCTCTAATGGTGCAACTTCACCAGTGTTTCCCCGCCTAGGGGTTATGACCCTTGGGGGGGGTCATAAAGTTTTTTGGGGGAGAGGGTGCCGCAGGTCATTGTAGTCCTTGTTAAATAATTTCTTCCTTGACCTTTCAGAATGGTATATTAAAGTTAGCATGTATGTGTATGTATGAGAAAAAGGTCCTTTGGGTAAGAAAGAAGTCTCTCCTTTCTTAAAAGGAATGACTGTACCCCATTAAAATATGTAGGGGGGAGTCACAAGTTTCTTGGCTGTTATAAAAGGGCTTCATCATCATAGACATACTTTAGTCTTGAAAGACTATAGTAATGTGCTCTGTACAGAGGACTTTGAAGCTGTATGTGAAGCTGGAGTGTCCTCTCCAGAGCATGAAGCCTGGGTAAAATAATATGGAGGATAGGCTGTTACCCAGCAAATCCCCCCTCTCCACATCACTGAAATAGTCCAATGGAAAGGCAAGAGCGAATGCAACTGGTCCCAGCAATGTCGCAGGAGTTGCCAGAGATTAATAACGCAAAAAAAGTTGGGAAGCACTGAACTACACAATGGGAAGAATGCAAATGGAAAAAGAAGATGCAGATCTGAAAAATAATGATCCATCATGTTCTCTGGATAGGTCATTTTCTAGTTTGTACTGAGGAACTATCCAAGGATCCAATAAAAGATCATAGATACCAGTGGGGAATGAATATGTTTATCTAGCTGTGATTTGGTGCATGACTTTCCTTTGTAATGTCTTCCCAAACAAATAGAATGAAGGGGACATGCAAATGGAGAGGAAAACCTCAGGCCAACCAATGGTGAACATATGCTGAGGATCCGTTTGGATTGACAAGCATGATATAAGCATTTTAATTCTGCTGACTGTTACTGGGGCTAAATGGAGAACTGAAAGGAGTGACAATGATGTGAAATGGTGATCTGAGCCTGAAATACTTCACAAAAAACTTACCATATTTTCCCATTTATAACACACAGACCTCATTTATAAGACACCCCACACACACTCTTATAAC